GGGACAGGTGCCTGGGTGCTGGATGGTACAACTTTGAGACAGAAATAGTGACACAATGAGTCAGAGGGTGAAAAGAAGGAGGGATAATTCCACTCCTATTTTCAGGAAGTGTGACGCTCTTCTTCTCCATGTGATTCTCATGAGGCAGGCCTGCATCTGTGCTGCACTATTACACGCAGCCCCTGCAACAGTGTGCAACGGCACAAAGCTCTTTTTAAAGACCAAGAACAATAAAAGCATCAGTGGTGAGATCAATGACATGCAGCTATGTATTGCACTTTGAGCATAACAACCACAGTTATTCGCATACAGGATGGAAGGACGGTTAAATTTTGGGTCGATATGTGTGTTTTTCTTTTGTTCTTCTTCATTCGAGTCCTGACATTGGCAAATGCCATCTTATATGCTAGAAGGCCACCAGCAGTTAACAAGTACTTAAATACATCATTTAGCATCATCTTTAAACAGTTAATTAAATACAGTCATTTAACCCTCCAAAGACAGCGTGCTTTCTGTTAGCAACTCTATCACCACAGTTTATTTTCATTCACCTCGACTTTTAATGCCCCATTATGTAATTTTAAACAGCCCAACTGTTGGGCTTCTCGGCTCAGGTCTTATATTCCCTGTGCCGAGCTTCTCGTGCCTGTTTTAGAAGGAACATCCTGACTGGACAGCGCTGACTGGAATGACAGATTAGCGGCTCTGCAGAGTGGGAGTGGTGAAGCTTTATTGAGACATTAAATCAAGTACTGACTGTCTGTGCTCATGTATGACTTTATGATGAGTGAGTCACTGTATGTGACTATTTACACAGCACAAATATGTGAGCATTTCTGAAAGAGAGATATACTGATCCCCGGCTTTGGTGACTACAGTATCTGATGACGACTTTGTGACACCTGACTACAGCAGCTTGTAGGGGCCAAAATGAAGCAATGCAAGGGCAGACAAGGGTGTTCCTGGCTTCAACTTTAGTAAAGAAATCAATTAAAAACAACTATAACGTTCTGAAACAACTTTCGCAACAAGTTTGATTAAGTGTCATGCCTATATCTGTAAATCCTTACTCGGGCACCGCACGGTGCTGTTAATGCAGATGATTTGTATTTGTATTTTCAATCACTGCGTTTACTTTGGATGCAGAAGAGAACGTGATTCTTTGGAGTATGTCCAAGTTACTCTGTCAGTGCCGTCACTGTGTTACTCTGGAGGGCACAGAGAATAAGCAGCAGGCAGGACAGTTTCCATCAGCTGGAGTCACACCTCAGCCCTGACATTTCCACTTACACAACCAAAAATTCTGCACTGCACCACAGAAGCATATAGTACACACCTAAGAGTCAAACCTGAGAATGCATTCAGTTAGCAGTGACCCCATTATAGTTTCATGGCTCAAATCATGATAATAATAAATAAAGACTATTAAAAAATATTTAAAATTTCCATTTGTTGTTTGTTATCATTTCAGTTTCCAGCAAGATCTGCAAAAACCCACATGCTTAAAGACACAGGCGAAATACACCTACAGCCATCTAAATGTTTTGGATCAGCTGGTCCATTTCAAACATGCCTGCTTGAATTACACACCCATCAAGCGGTTTTACAAAACTTAGACATTTTGACAAAATCCCAGCTTCAACCCTCCACCGTACCTGCAGCAGACAAGGCCAGAAGAGACAGCAAGCAGCACACAGACACCACAGACTTCATTTTGGCTGCCAGGGACCTGCCGCTCATCTCCCTCAGCTATATATACTGCTCTAGCTGAAGGTCAGAGGGCATGCCAGTGAAGGGGGGGGGGCAGCAGCTGCACCCGTGTCAGCCATTGTGTGTCAGAGCAGCTGCCAGTTCTAATCGGGAATGTTGAGAGAAGAGGGAGACTAAGTGATCATGTTGTGCTTTGGTTTGCAGGCTGTATAAAAGCACCTCGGAAAACTGAAAAAGAAAAATTCAGAAGCTTTACATTTTAATGAGACAAGTTTTTTTTGAGTCACATTTATAGTGCAGCAGTAATGCCTTTCATTTGCTTCATTGCTTTAGCTCAGATTAAAAAACACTGAATGGATTACCATGGGTTTGGGGGCAAAAAGTAAGTGGCCACTTTATTAGGTACAGTCATGGAGGTCCTAGAAACATTCCTCTGGGATTTTGGAAACTTTTGTTTCCGAACATCGCTCTACTGGATTGAGTTCTGGAGACTGTGGTGCACATTTGACTGCAGTGAACTCATTATGATGCCCAAGAAACCAGTTTGACATCATTTGAGCTCTGTGTATGGTGTTTTTCCTGTTGGTAGCAGTCATCAGATGACTGGTACACTGTGGTTAGAAAGGGATGGACACGGTTGGCATCAACAATGATTTAAACAGCACTCATTTGGTATTAAGGCGTCCAAAGTGTGCCAAGCAAATATCCCCACACCATTTTACACCCCCACCAGATTGAGCTGCTGATAGAAGGCAAGGTGAATCCAGGGTTTCATGTTGTTTACACACAAATCCTGGCTGTCATCCAGCTGACATAGACCTTGAGACTCAGACCAGGAAACATTGTTCCAATTTTCGTGAAGCTGTAACTGTAGCCTCGGTTTTCTGTTCTTACATGACAAGAGTGGGATCCAGTGTGGTCTTCTGCTACTGTAGCCCATCTGCTTCTAGGTTCAATGTGTTGTATGATCAGAGATGCTCTTCTGCATACCCTGCTTCTAACAAGTGGCTTTTCAAGTTACTGCTTTTCAAAGCAGTCTGGCCATCTTCTGACATCAATGGGGCATTTCTGCACAGAGAACTGACACTCACTGGATTTTGTCCTCTTTGTCAAACTATCCCCTCTAAACCCTGCAGATGGTTGTGTGGCAAAATCTCAGAAATACTCAGACGAGCCAATCTGCCACTAATAACCAACCCCTAAAAGTTGTGTCAAAATTAATACAATTCATTTGAACTTAAACATTCAGAAAAGCCACTCAGATTCACTGACTTCCTTCAAATAGACTACAAAGCTCTTGTACACTATGCATCTTTTAATGGTGCTATAAAGTTATTTTAATAGAATGACTTGTGTTCAAATACTACTGTCATACTACAACTACGTAGTGGACTGCATTTAAATCTGTCAAAAAATAAATAAATAAAACAGTACACTACAATATTTTATCATTTTTACATGTTGTTGCAGTGCACATGTGTGTGTGCCACATCTTTGATCACCAATTTGAACTCTGCGCAGCAGTAATAGTCACTCATTGTCACCACCTGGTGGGCAGAAATGGTCGTATGTATGAATAAAAGCAACCAAACAGAGGGAGTGTAATAAAAAAGTACAAATTTTTATTTTTTCGTCTTTACAAAGGCCTGTTTACCCAAGGTTTTTCTTTTTTTTAATAAACAAAATATAACAGCTTCTCATCGACCTGGACTGATGCAGAACAAAAAACAAAACTTAAAATCACAATATAAAAGGCTTGTCACTTAAAAAATGAAAAGCAAGACAAATTAAAGATTTTGAACTGCGTCACAGCAAAGAGCATATGGGGAGAAAAACAAAACAAAACAACCCTTCCTGAAAGCTGATTCAGGCATTAAAGAACAGCAAGTGCTTCATATCAAATATGTCAAATTCCACCAAAAAACAGCAGTGCTGCAACACAATGTACAGAAACATTTGGGCGTAAGAGTTTCTCTGACCAACAACAGCCCAGATTAAAATCAGGCTGTTGTCATATGTCAGAGCAACACCAAACCCTTTAACAAAGTTTCACAAACAAAATATGAAAAATACCCCACGTTTGGCATGAAAATGCTAGTCTAGTCTAACCTGATGCCTGGGAGTGACTAGTGTCCACACATCCTACACAAGACAGTGTCACTGAACGCATCAGTCATGTGTTCATGAAAAAGAAAAAAGGAAAAAAAAAAAAAAAAAGACCCCGCAAGAAATAAACAAAATGTCATAACAAAAGATTACTTCAGACGAGAGAAAATGCCGATTAGTAATATGCATTCCGTTGGCAACAGAACATACAAGAGATCAAAAGACAGATACAAATCCAAGAAAAGGGAATGTTTACAGCATCAAGTCAGCGTATCAAATTGAGTATGACAGGAGAGAGGCTTGTAGCAGGGGTTTCCAGTCAAATTCCCAAGAAATATGAACAAAGTAACATGAGGTGGACAGACTTGGTGCTTTTTTGAGACAGACAAATGGAGGGATTGTAGCTGGGTGTTGTATCAATTTTACATTTTACCAAACAGTGTTTTTGCCCTTTTTGTAGCCAATGTTGATGCCCTGAAAACTGACAATGATCTGATTTGTTTGCTCAGTTTTCCCCACCTAAAGCTGCTCATTTCTGCGTGTGAGCAACCCTGAAAACCCATCCCTGCTCTACACTCTGAGCATGTTCAAAGTGTGTAAATGACAAATATTTAACAAAAAAAACAAACAACTGGATGTGTAGGAAATGTGATTAACGGTTACATGAAGGGTTTTGGCCTCAGCTCACTGCTCATCAGCAGAGCACCAGGGTTATCAAAAGAGCACCTTGCAAGTAGAGACTACATTCTTTGACACAAGCTCATCAAGTTTCATACATATACTGTAGGCGCGTGACCACCTATTGACGGTGCATAGAGATCTTCACCTCATGTAGAAATGACACCAACAAATGTAATGAAGATGGAATTGCATAAATACCAAAAAACGTTAGTGCATAGTCACTGAAATTAATAAACCAGGACTAAAAGAGACTTAGATAGTCTTTGGAGGAACACCAGAAGCCTGCATGCAGTGCAAGCATACGAATCATCCAAATCGCATCAGCTAAACTTCACATATTTTCATTTACAATTAAAAAAAAAAAAAAAAAAAAATCTGATTCAGTCAAATTGTCTGGGAGCGATCATAAATTAACACCAGACGTGAACGTTGGTTAATATTTTCGAGCGATAAACCAACATTTGATGGCGGCTGGTTCAAAACTGAAATCAGAATCTGTTTAAAAAAAATAAAATAAAATTTAAAAAAATCCCCTCAGGGACCCCGGTTCCCTGTAAAAACCTGATAAACCTCCAATTTGATAAATTCAATTTAAGAAATTGTTCACCTTCCGTATTCAGTAACGCTGACATAAAGTTAACAAAAACATAACCAAAAAGACGACCAAAGTAAATTGATCAAGAGCTTATTTTAAGGGCTTATTTAGACATCAAAAGCATTTTTTCTTTCAAGTAAAATCAGACAATTTCTTTAAGCGAGTATCCTCAAATTAAACTTGTAATTAGGTGAATTTCATTCCAAATTCTGGCATTTCGAAACTGCTTCAGCTGTAGTTTGAGTTTCAGAATTGAGAGCTGCTCGGTTATTGCGATCATACATTCAGCTCTCTGTTACACTGACTCCCATCAGTTTGAAGCACAAGTAATACTGCCGGTGTGCCAGTGACGATGGATTACTGCGACGCGTAAACACAAAATGAAGGGCGGACTGATGCTGATAGCTTTTTTACACTAGAAGACCCTCAAGTTTCATAATAGTCACAGACCGGCTCTGCCATTGAAAGACAGCCTCGAGAGATCCCACAGTGTCTCCTCTGCACGCTGACCATCCTATGTTTTCAATATTAAGAGATTTTACAGTACAAGACTGACACAGAGCTTAACCATTGGATTTTAGGAGTTTGGATAATGCCAAAGACGACTTTTTTTTAAACTTTTTCTTTTCTGTCAAAAAGCAGTCAACCTCCTGGAGGGAATCTTACAGTGAAAAGGTATTTGTGTGTGTGTGTGTGTGTGTGTGTGTGTGTGTGTGTGTGTGTGTGTGTGTGTGAGGGAGGGAGAGTAAAAGAGAAAGAGAGTTCATGGGATGGATCAATTCATTGAACTGTCCTCCCCCTCTGTGTCAGTGTCTGTGTCAGAGCAGGCGGTGTCCATGGCGATGTGGGCGGGGCTTACAATGACAGCTCTTCTCTGCTCCTCCTCAGCGCTGGCTCTCCTCTCCTGAGTGCGTTCGATATGCTGGATGGCCTGGGAAGGTAAGAAAGTATACTTTAAATATGAGGCAATAAACAGCAAAAGCAGCTTTCCATACAAAGTACACAGAAGTTATTTTTTCCTCTCCATTGCAGTAAAGACCCATGAAGATCAGGCTAGTTAGTCTGCTTGAACCTTTTGTTTTAACATGCAGAAAAGCATAGAGACCTGGGTCGTGCACTATGAATCAAGCTCAACAAACCCAGGCTCTCTTTCTATTATCTGGCTTCACTTAACCCAACATTGGCAATCAGGCTAATGCTTGTTTTATGGTAATACGCGTGTTTATTTTTTGTAGGTTTTTGACTTTGCAGAGGGGTATGCAACCAGCACAAATGTGGTTGCATGCAGTCCTCCAATGACGCAACAGCATGTAGCTCGACAAGCATGACAGTATGTGTATGCTGACTGGTTGAGAAGTGGGCTGGAACAAGGAATGGAGCGATGGCCAAGTTCCTTCCAAACAGGATGTCAGAAGATGATAAAATGGAGCATGAGAAGCACAGATGGTGACCGCAGCGGACACTTTTCATTGTTTTCAAACAGTCGGTTTCACTTCAGCTCTTTGTATGTTCTCTGCTGCAGCTGGCAAGGACCAAGAACAAGCAAAAGCAGCCCACAGACTAAGGACTGACACCACTGTAACAGCATTACTACTCTTAGTGGTAATGCTATTGAACCGGTACTTTAACATAACTCCTATCAGATCACATTTGATTTTGTCATTTATCATCTGTCTGGAACCCTCAAAATATAAACATAAAATATAATGAATTTATAATAATTAAACATGAGAAGGGAGCCAGAGTTCAACAGACGGATTGGTGTACCGGTCCGTTGTGGTGAAGAGAGAGCTCAGAGTAAAAGCGAAGCTCTCAATTTACCGGTCGATCTACGTCCCTACCCTCACCTGTGGCCACGAGCTGTGGGTAGTGACCGAAAGAACGAGATCGCGGATACAAGTGGCGGAAATGAGCTTCCTCCGAAGGGTGGCTGGCCTCTCCCTTAGAGATAGAAGTTCGGCCATCCGGGAGGGGCTCAGAGTAGAGCCGCTGCTCCTCCACATTGAAAGGAGCCAGCTGAGGTGGTTTGAGCATCTGACAAGAATGCCTCCTGGGCACGGTGTTCCGGGCATGTCCCACCGGGAGGAGGCCCCGGGGCAGACCCAGGACATGCTGGAGAGATTATATCTCTCGGCTGGCCTGGGAACGCCTTTGTGTTCCCCCGGACAAGCTGGAGGAGGTGGCTGGGGAGAGGGAGGTCTGGGCTTCTCTGTTTAGGCTGCTGCCCCCGCGACCCGGCCTCGGATAAAGTGGAAAAAGATGGATGGATGGATAAACAATACACTGTAAATTAAGTCCATGTACACTGTATCCAATATTTTAAAAATTTCAAACCTCTGCACTGAACAGATGTTGCGGGCTTTTTAAGACAAGTTATTGTGCAGTGACATTAGTTTGAGTTCAGCCTCCAAATCACTGAGTGATCTGAAACTGAATTTGAGGATTTGGGATTAGGAATTGAAAGTAATGGCTCAGAGGATGTTTTGACGACCTGGGACTGAATGCATAACAATCAGCTTGTTAGTAATTACTTTGATCATTTAATCATTAAACCACTTTCATGTTTTAGATAAGATAACTGATGACTTACGACAATTGTGTGCATGTTTCAGGGTGCTAGTCTTACATAACTTGACAGCGGCAGATGAACTATGAGCTAAAAAGGAGAAAACTTTGCTTTTCTTTGTCTGAATGTGACACAAATTAGTTTAGTGTTTTCATGTTTTTTCCTTTCCAAGGCAACAATCGCTGTCAGCATGGACTCTAGTGAAGTGAGTTCTGCCTCACACATGCACACGCATGTGTGACGCAGAGCTACACCACCGTTCACATCTAAGCTCAGAGGCAGAGAATTCTCTTCTGGACAGGAAATAGCCAAAATGCATGTCAGATTAATGTCTCAATTAGTAATGATGGTGGTCAGATAAAATGTAAAATAACAATAACGTCAGATTTTACTGACACACCGGTCTTTAATAGTTTGCCTCAGGGTCAGTAATACTTGGTGTTTCGGCACCCATCCCTACCGCAGACCAGTTGTTTGTGACACTGCCCCCTGGTGACAGTAAACTGTAATATGTAGACACAGGTCTTCAAACCTGTCTGTAGGACCACTGCAGAAACATTATTTGAGCCGAGGAAAATGCTTGTTTCGGTTGCCTTGGAGTCTACTCAAATAACATCGAGCACCACACAGACGTTTTTCAGGGCTGCTGAACACACATTGAACGTGTCAGACACCCAAAACCTGCCTAGTAAATACTGCAGTGTGAAAATGTAAAGTAATGCAATGTCAATGCCTAATCAGCAAGGATCCTCTAAAGTGAAAAAAGTTCAAACCTGCACAATGGTGTCCAGGTTCTGTCTAGAGGTGGACACCGTGCTGGTGTGGGCTGATGGGCTCATGGTGACCACTGTGACGTGATGGTGGGGGTGCTGGGTTAGTGTTGGAGCTGGGACTATCACCGTGGGGTGGTGGGTGGGGGCAGGGGGAGAAGCCAACACCTAGAGGAACACACAAAATATTTATAAAACAGACATCAAAGTGTGTTTTCCATTCCATAAATACATATGCCCACATCACAGCTGAGCTCCATACAATATTGGCCACTTCAGAGGCTGTTGGAGCAATCTGCCGCCTCTTCCAGTTCAGAAACAGTAGCACAGGTACACATTAGGTTTTCCGCATGTTTGTTTCTAACCTGTGGACTGTGTGTCTGTCTGTCCACAGCGTGGATCTGGTGTAGCCGTAGCAGGGTCTGGCTCTGGATGAGTGCATGCTCCTCTTCCACCTGCTGGGTGATCACCTTCAGACGCTCTGGGTGCAGCTGAGTGTCCAGAGAGCGCACCTACACAATGCACACAATTACATCAACCAAAGATAGACTGACAATTTTAAGAGCAACAGAAAATATATCCCAGCATTCTTGTCAAATAAATACTCTAATGGGAAACTTCATCTTAACACTGTAATATCAACACAGTGTTTCCACTGGAAACATAATGACTGTCTGAAAAAGAAAAAAGTGTCCAAGACACATAACTGCCATGTATTCCTCTGATGTTTACCTTCCACTTAAACAACGTAATTAAAGTCTTGTTTGTCTTCTGCACCTGTCCCACCTCCTTTGTCTCAACCTGCTCTTCAGGTCGATCCAGGATGTGAGCTTATGAGGAACCGGCTCGAGTACCGGAAAATCTGTCAGCCCCACAAGCTGAAGATTTTATAATGTGATATCACGACCAGTAGTTGAGACTATTTTGTAGCCTGAAGGTGTAAACGAACTTATTTGTATAGCCTGGGTAAATTAACAGTCCTATTTTTGTACCTTTTCTTTCGAATCAAACGTTCTCTCTTATTTGTAATGACAGCAAGAAAGTAAAATGTCTTTTAAATACACATAATAACACGGAAGGAAAAGGATATTTCTTTTCCACCTTCACTTCCAACTCCCTGCTTTAACCTCACCTGATCCTCCAGCTGCATGCGAGCCGAGCGCTCCTTGTCCAGTTGCTGCCGCAGCTCTAACATCTCCCTCCTCAGCTCTTCAACCTTCTCCTCCTCCAACATGTCTGGAGACCCAATCCCTTCATCCTTCTCCTCTGCTCGCCTCCTTTTAGGCGATGAGCCACTTAACTCCTGTAACGACAAGGAAACCACATTCGGTTAAATGTGAAACAACACGATTGGTGTAATTTTCTCCTCCATTTAAAACAACACATGGTGCCTATGCTGACCTGAACAAAGAGGCAGTGTGAACCAACGGGAAGGTAAAAAATGACTTCAGTAAACATACATTTAAATGTGCAAAAAACTAATTCAAGCTAAGTTTGGCTACAACTGTAACTCCATGAAGCTAAACAGGAAGTTACAATTTGTCTGTAATGACAAACGTGTAAGATGAAAAACTTAACAACTGACTATAGGTAAGAATCACAGACCAACTCGGTATTGGTGTAATCTGCTGCTCACAATAATTGAAGTGATTCTGCAACACTCAAAAAGCTGAATTTCTGTGTTGTCAGTGTGAATCTGTATTTATAAAATGAAATGTTTTGTTTTTATTTATTAGCTCTCAGGTTAGCTTCCTCTCACTGAGCGTTTTCAAGTAGGTTAACTTTTTCCACCCGCTTTATTTGCCAATCTTCACTTCAGGAGTCATCAAATAGTGACTCGAGTAACTGAAATTGGTGGAGGGACTCAATTAAGACTGCCTCCCATCTCTATTACTAACACTATATCTAATACACTGTCTGCTTACACTACTGTCTAATACCTTTGAAGAAAATGACCAGTCTGTGTTGTGCAATCAATGATGGTCAAAGTGATTGTCAATAGCGCTCCAGTCAAAGCAACATTTAGCTCATTTCCCCTTTCATGCATTAAATCAATATCTCTAATCAGAATCAAAATGACCTGATTCTGCCTCACTATAGTTTAATGTTGCATCTCTTCACGTTTGCAACCGACGCGACTGGATGTGCACGAGCAACTACAACCAACTGGTTGTGTGAGTTAAATCTACTGATCCATCAAACAAAGGGAGGAGATTTCCGACCACTGGGCTAATCTTTAAATTACAACATAATGTGACTGCACTTGCAGAGACACTCGTTTTCCCCTTAACTTAGCTGTTTCTGTTGGGCGAAAAATTTGACTGTGTGTGGAGGGTACAATAAAATATTGAACCATCAAATATTGAGATTTAACATAGCTGTCAGCCTACTTCCGTTAACAAGTTAACCCTTTAAGACCTACCATAGAACCAAGTCCGCCAGAGCTTATATTATATTTTTACATGCTGTGGAGCCATTTTTTGGAACATTTCAAGTTGCTATACATCAATACAACCATTTTAGCCCAAATTTTAATAATATATCTGCATTAAGTGCATAGTAATTACATAAATTGCAAAAAAGTGCAATAAACTACAATAAAAAAATGTTTTAATCGTTTTTGATTTTTTAACATATATTTCTAGTTAGAGAAATTTAAGAGGCTTATCCCTCAAAACTGTAAATACAAAAAAGTTGCACAAAATAGTTTCCCACCAAAGGAAATTTATTTTAAGTGTCTTCATAGTTTTATTTTTGAGATACACCAATTTTCATATACTGCAGGAAAAATGAAAAAATATATTATAGTGCAAATTTGCAAAATAACAGCATATGCATCAAAATAAAATATTTCCAGCAGTGCAATATGAGTCCTCAGCATCCCAGAAACGACACAGAAAGTCATAAAGTCAAACATAACTTTTAAAAACACAAGTATAGGCTCACGAGGCCCTGATGGTAAAAAACTACATTTCCGCAAAATGACGTCACTTCTGGTTTCGGGCAGGACATGGAGGACATGTGACAGTTCACGCTGATGGACGTAGGAAGTGTTACAAACAGCTGATCGGATCGGCAAAGCGTGTTTCTGGAATATTATGTTTTTGTTGCTGCAAGTGCTTTTTATGCAGTTTTTGCAAAGCTATATGTGGAAGGAAACTGTGACCTAGGACAAGCTGATGGCATCAGATGTAAGTACAACTCCTCCGGTTTCATATGCAAAAAAAAGTATTGCGCTAGCTTACGTGGTTGCCGAGCTACCGGGATTTTAAAATAGTTACGCAAAATGGAGCGTGTCCGCTCCGACCGGCTTTAAAGGGTTAAAGCAAAGCTAGATCATTCATTTGCTGTATGTCAGTGTTGTAAAGATTCCCAGTGTGTGTGTGTGTGTGTGTGTGTGTGTGAGCCCGCCAGTGCTACCCCTCAGCCTCGCAATAATTACACCTATAGTATCATTTTCAAAATTCTACATTTCCTTGTTCTCAAGTTATGGCATTCACCAGACTTATGTGTCCATGCTGCCCGGCAGGAGGACAATTCCCCATCAGCCTTTTACGTCTGAGGGGTAAAAACGGTATCTGCTCTCGTGGACACACAATTTTGCCATTGTTGAATGAACAACTATTATTTTTAATCAGGCCAATGGTCACACAGAGCTCACACACTATCAGAGCTCCTCCTTAACAGAAAAACAATGCATGTTTTTGACTGAAGGTCTACTGAAAAAAAAATGTCTTATATATTCTCTAAATTCTGTTGTACATGTCAGTGATCTGGATCAATTCTACATTCAAGTCTCCTCCTGGGGAGGAACCTGAGCTGAAGACAAAACCATAAGGATTGTTTTGGCCCCAAAACACACCATTAGTACTCATGTAAGATAATATATATTCTGTATAACAGATCAGTATCTCATCTGTGTGACACTGACATGAATTCAACCCCATTTTATACTTAAGAACATTTTATGTAAAAAAAGAAAAAAAAGAAAAGAAAAACAGGGAGACATGCTGTTACCTGGATGAAGCGCTTGAGCTGATTGTTCTGTGCCAGAAGCTGCGTCTTTTCCTGCTCCAAGGTGAAGATATAGTCTGCTGTCTGCTGCAGGATGGCCGCCTGAAAGTGGGGAAAAAAAACAAAAGCTGAATTCTAGAGCAGATGTGATATTAGTGCAAAAACAGGCACAAATTAACTTTATTCCCTCCTTTGCGCATTTGTGCCGAGTCACTTTGTATTCTTGCTGTGCCAACATTTGGTTAATTGAACAACACTGTGCACGCGCACGTGTGTGTCAATGTGTGCACGTTTGGAGCACCTTGCTGAGTTTCTCCCCGTCGGTGTGCGGCAGGAGTGTTTTCAGGGACTGGAATCCTGCGTTGATGCTCTGCATACGCCGGCGCTCGTTGCTATTAGCGATTTCCCTGCGAATTCGCCTCTCTTGGTCCTGAGCAGTCTCTGGACTGAGGGGGATGTTGGCCAGGCTGAAGGAGAGAGGTCAAATGAAGAAGATGATCATGACTGTGTCGTGAAGTCACCAAGAAAGCGTAAGTTCCCCTTTCAAACATAATTAAGGTTAGCATTAGATCTGAGCAAATATGTATTCTGGGTTAAAATGACACACTGGGACAATAAAGTCTGTAACTAGATGCAATCTGAAACCTTTTACCTGGAACTTTACAGGGCATTCATCTGAACTCGTTGCCCCTTAAAGCACTTGTAGAGCATGAGTATGAATATCATGGTAACAAAACCTTCTGACATATTTACTCAGAGGGAAAAATAAGTGAACCATTCAAGTCAGACTTCCGCAGCAAACCTGAAGAACCAGATCTGTGATGTTTTACTAGGCCTAAAGGTCAGACCGAACACACGGCTCACATAGTTGTAAACATGTCTGTCCTACAAAAAATGAAAGAGTAGGCAGGCATGTGCCAATCAAATTGTAAAGCTTGCAACTTAACAACATTTAGTGAACATTAACTGTGATATTAACATATAATCAGTAATCTTTCTCTATTACTTAGATTTATACATATTTAAAATATTGTATTCGATCCGGAGCGTCTAGTTCTAGAGTGAAATATGCAAATTATGCATTATTTACTTTCACTTTTATAAATTTAGACACGAGGAAGACATCTTTGGTTAGGTAAATATCCTAAAACGTTAATTTTTAGATAAAAACTGTCTTTTTGCCTGCCATTTCTTTCCTTGGTGTTAGGAAAAACTATTCGCGGAAATTCTGTACCATATCTAGACCAATGTTTAAGCACACAAAGGCTTTTCTTTGGCTACAAAAAAGTGAACGATTGACTAAAGAATAACAGATTAACAACCAAAACTGTGAATATCAAAGGCAAAAAAATAATTATCTAAACAAAAAGATCTGTTTCTACACATTCAGTTTCATATTAACGTTTGACACAAATTATAGGGGTGTTTACGTCGACTCGGGAAGAAACACCGCATTTCTCCCACAGACTTGAACGCGCCGGGGTTTGTAGCTCAGACATAAAACCAGCTGTTGTCTGCTGACGCTGCCGGGAGCTGCGGGCCTGCGGCACGGCCGCCGGGGGGCGCGTCTGCACGGTAGCAGCCCTGAAACGTGACTCCACTCCGCCACAAGCCACAGGCCCCCCTGGCGTCATAGAGAACAATGCTTTCCCCATTTAGCATGAAGCTAGAACTTAAGTTATCGATCCAACATTAACCGATAAACACTCATAACTGTCGCACCACACAACAAACGACGTATTTTAGCTAAACGACTCGGGAAATACGAGTTATGAGACGCCTGTGTGTATTTCATACGGCTGGAAGGAGTGCGCAGTAAGAGCTAACTAGTTAGCCACGCTAAGCTAATTTTAGCACAAGACGCAACGACGACTACGCCGCGGATCAGTATTTAAACACGCATTTTTTTTATCCCCGGGCACGATTTTACACCACATACTTCATCATAGCTACACATAGATGAGACACACGAGCGATTTAGTTAATATGGCCAGTTTTTTTGGGCAACGGTGACGTTACAAACGTGATTTGTTGTGTAGCAGCAAAGCGGCGGGTTAACTACCACGTGCTCTAGACGGCAATGTATCGATTTCACCTCACTGATTTACATATTCCAGAGCCAGGCGGTTACAAACATGCTTTATTATAAGTTATTACAAACAATTCAGCCAGCGTATTTAAAAGCAAGGGGGTGAAATGTTACATACACCCTCGTCTCTAACAACATCAACTGGCACAAGCACTGGCTGCTAATTTCCACAACCACGCTCCTGCTGCCAAGACATGGCAGCGAAGCTAACAGCATGCTACATGAAGGCTGACTGCAGCGCACACACATACACGCGCTACACGAAAGGTTATTTATTCACGCAGTTCGGTAACAACACCGATGGTTAGCATTTTTGCGCACCTGCAGAGACCTCCAATAACATCCTTCTCCGATTTCTTGAACTGTTGTAAGGACTGTATCTTCTCTGTCGGCATCATGAAATATTCCATGCTTTCAAAGCCACCTTCAGTCCGTGTTTGCTGTTTTCTTCTCCCTCCCCTGCGCTCCTTGTTAAAATAAATAGATGCTCGGTTGGTTTTTGTTTCTCCCTCGCAGAACTCCCACTGTACTTGCCAATAGCTTACATCTAAAAAGCCGCTTTCAATTCGGTTTGACTGAAGAAAAGCGTTAGAAAAATAACAATTCAAGCTGTGTTGCTTTCCCCAGCTGATGGGGCTACCTCCAGTGTGTGTGTGTGTGGCTTCTTGCCTCCGCCTACTACGAGTGTGTGTGTGTGTGTGTGCAGCTGATCTATGTGAGGCGGGAAACAGCTGGTTGGAATCAGAGCTCGTTTTCCGGAAAGCAGAACAAACAGACCAGCAAGAATCTGACTGCAGTGCTGCAAATCTACGAGCAGTGAGCAAAATACCGACTATATAATTTGAACTACGCCAAACTATAACCTGGGAATCAGCAGGGTTAAAGGTAAATTTAAACTGCAGCGGTTTGCGTCTTGCTTTTCCAAGTGCAGCGACTGACTGTCCAGTGTTGGTATACTGCCAATATCACATAAAAATCAACTACTGACATCTTGATTGTGATAAAAGTTTAAGTAATATTGTAAATAAATGGCATTACCAAGCTTATGGACAAACCGTCCTACAGTTCATTTCATTTTTGTCATAGTTAACAAAGGACCAACACGAAAATGTGTTGGACAAAAAAAGTCAGTCACCATCGTAAAATTTAACAAAAGAAAAGAAAAAAACCCCAAAGCAACACAAGTAAAAAAAAAAAAAAAACTACTGGAGACAGAAATAAAACAAAAAAGTAATACAGAGATGAACAGGATTACAATTTAAATGACCATAATGACCATTACAAGACTAAATCCAGAGAAATGCTCACGTGTAGCTCAATTACAGACATATTACACAAACAGAGGTGCCGCACAAGAGTTTAACATAATTTTGTGTTTCATGATCATTTCACAAAGTGGAAAACATATGATTAGATGTTTTTACTTAAGTAATAACATTTACTACTTAAGTAGCTTATTTGTGCAGTGGTATTGTGTAGTAATTGTGTAGTTTTTGTCTACAAGGGCATCCAAAAATCTGCCAAATAAAATATTCAGAATTACCTGCTGTAGAAACTGCTTATGAACAAGGGAACAGTTGGAAGTAGCTTTCAATGTAAAAATGTTCATTATGAAAAGTGTCCATCTAATCATATTATATTACATTTATTGCTGCTGTTCAGGATACTTATAACCTTTTCTTTCACCTGCACCCTTTAAGGATCACTTCAGAGGATAATCTGTCCCCATAATGCAATTTGTCTGTGAAATAATAAGTAACCAAAGTTTTAAAACCAATATTACTATTGGTAATATCTACTAAAAATGTTTGCAGCAGAGTAGGAAGCTTAGCAGCAGAAAAAACTAATTTCTTCAGTCCCATTGCCACAAGTGTATAAAATCAAGCACCTTCTATACAGTCTGCCTATACAAATATTTGTGAAACAATGGGTGGTTCTAGAGCACTCAGTGCATTCAGGTTTACTACAGTAACTGTTGTAACAAGCCAGTGTGTGACATTTCTTCCTTCCTAGATATTCCACAGTGAGCTGTATGTGGTATTAATGCAAAGTGGAAGTGTTGAGGAACCACAGCAACTCAGCCATGAAGCGGTAGACCACGTAACCTTAAAGAACAGAGTGACTGAATGTCAGGGTGCATAGTGCATTAAAATGACAAACACTCTGCTGACTTAATAAAGCCAAACTTTCAAACTGCCTCTGACATTAACTTCAGCACAAAAACTGTATGCCAGGAGCTTCATGGCATGACTGAGCAGCTCGTATGAGCATATATATATATATATTTCCTTGTGCATTTGTTTTTAAAAAATTATTTTAAATGGCTCCCAAAGAGGAAGTATTTTCACTTAACAGCTAAGAAATAAATTTTTCAATTTGTCACCTTGAATACAAAGGACACAAAGGGAAAAGTAAAAGGAAACATTACAGATTAATAAAATCCTTATATGCAGACTGATAATAATTTATTATAAAAGGAAGCTCCTCAGCATAAAAAACTCCGGTTTAGGACAGCAGGTGGCAGTATTAAGCTGGAAAGTCACCCAACCAGAAAATCTGGTTCTTTGTTTTCTTTACATGAAAAGTGGAAAATAACCATTCATCCATTCTCTTCAGCTGGCGCCTATCACAGCTGTTATAGGGTAAGAGGCGGAGTGGACGGGCTGCCAGTCTATCGCAGGGCTAACACATAGAGAAAGACAACCATCCACACTCACACCTAAGGGAAATGTATTACCATCAATTAACCTAACGCCACTAATTATGTCTTTGGATTGTGGGAGGAAGCCAGAGGACTTGGAGAGAACCCACACAAAGATGGGGAGAACATGCAAACACCACACAGAAAGGCACCGACCAGATGGTGGAGACTTCTTGCTGTGAGGTAACACTGCTAACCACCACAACACCGTCAACATAATAAATTCCTAATAGCTTCACTGCTGCTGTAATGAAACCATAGTATGTCATCTAGAACAGCACGATATCAGCAGGCCTTTTCACAAGCCTTGAAGCTTAACCGGTCACATGTGCCTCTGGACAGTTTTTTGTTTTTGTAAGTTATAGTATTGAAACCAACACACATGCTTTATTGTTCTCAGGTTTTTATTTTCCCCATGTAGCACATGTTAAAGAGATAGTAAAACGACATTATACACTGATGAAATATTTGGTCTTAAAAAAACAAACAAAAAAAGTGATGAGCTCTCCTTATTACCACAAATCTTTAAGTAACTAATATACAGAGAAAGCGTTTCAAAAATGATCCAATTTACTATATTCACCTTTAAATAACATATTTATATTTATGTACACATTCTTTTTTGAAATAATAAAAAAAATGATAGTATTCTTCATATAAGAAATGCACCATAGTCTATATTGAGATATATTAGTGTATCTAATGAGTCATCATTTGTAGGAAAATGTATTCACTAAGGCCACTTACTACAATTCTTCAAAAATATCTAACGGTAAACTGTATTGGACACCACACAACAGAGCAAATGAAGGTGCACCTTCGTATGTCGGCACAGACGTTTTCTAAATTTGGAAATTAAGCGTGTTAAAGAAAAGAATGAACTTAAGCCATATGTTCACAACATCTTTAACCAGAAAGGAGCCGTTATACTGTTAAAGGCACTTACATTTAGGACCTTGCTAAAAAGGCCTTGTCTTTGGCAGATAGAAACTTTAAACGCTTGAAAATGGAAATCTGGATCAAGACTTAAATAGGGGTCTCCGGAGTAGACCTTTTAAAGCCTGAAAATATAAACCTAACTGTAGGGATGATTATCCTTTACTTGTAGCATGATTGGCAAATGCCCTCTGGAGAGAACAGAATAACAGAACATTTTATTTTGTAACTTTGACAAAGTGTAAGCATCACTGAGTTGACGGGATCCCTGCCATCTGTACTGATGGTCTGATCCTCTTGGCAGCATTTTCCTCCACGGAGAAAGTGTAGTTATACTGGGGAAAAAAATAATCAAAAAACAATGTGGCAATATTCTCAATTTATATACTCAATAAAAAGTATCAGATGAGAACTTACCTCATTTTCAATGTCTTGGAGAGATTTTATGGGAATATTCAAATCCGAGTTCTAAGACAAAAATAGTCAAAGAGAATTGGGATGACAAAGGAAAGTCAGCGGTATTTGGCATTGGAATCCATCCCTTGAATACTGAAAACTTGAAACATACCGTCTCATTTGCCTGGGTTTCAAATTTTGGGTGGAGGCTGAAAGGAACTCCATCTAGAGCTGCAGAGAATAAGAGTATGCCTAGGTGAGTGGGTCTCTGCGGTGAGAAGCGTAAATAAGAAGCCCTTTGTGTGACGAGAGACCCATGGTACCTGTAATTCCATGGATGCTTCCATCAGCAGGTTTGTCTAACTCATCCTTTGTTTGAAGAGTGTGGCGTCTGTGACTAAGTCTGCTGGGTGGCAATTCAGGAGGAGGAGGGTTGCTGCAGAAATAAATAAGATAAACAAATAAGATGTCGACCACAAGAGTAAAACGCCTCCAAGATAATACACTTTGCTGTAATAATGTCACATCGCTATAATTTTTAACTATATACACTTCTAATAAGAGACATATGTGACATTTTGATAATAACATCTCCATTTTAAATATACATAGGCATTATACCTAGGTCTGAGGGGTAGAGGAGGAGACTGCTGCTCTAAGGAAAGTTGGCGGATGTCCAGGCTGACACTGCGGGGCTTGGCTTGAGGCGTGGGTTTAGAAAAGTAACCTTTTCTGTACCACAGCACATAGCCGTGGATGTCTCTGAAGAAAAAGTGCATGTAATGACAAATTATATGCAACATAATATTCATAAAAGTTCATGAAAATGCTTTGATAAAACAGGCCCAAGACAAAAGTCCATGTATCTGAATGTACCCCACAAATGTGTAATGCTGCAACATCATTTTGCTTTTGGCTGTCAGCTTGATATCCAACACAGCTGTTTCCACACTGCCCACTGGGACGATGCGTACGCACACACGTTTTTTCTTGGAAACTGTGGCCTCTGGACAAACAATCACACGGTAGGTCAGAAGTGAATGAATATGATGCATTCTGCTAAATAAGTATGAATGTGTGTGTGTGCTCACTTGGCTCAAGATGTTCGGCTATAAAGCAGTAACCATGAGGAAGTGAGTCCTTATCAGAAATAATCCGGATGTCAGACACTACCATACCACCTGCTGAGTCCTGCATTTATGGAAAATTTAGAAGAATAAATGATGTATTGTGGTAATATAAAGGTAATACATGTATAAGTTCGCATTTTTTGTTCACCTTGCTATAACAGAGGTAATATCCAGACTTCATCCCAAAGGTGCGTGTAAAATTTGCTGATGCTCCATCTTCTGTGAGGCTGATCTGCAGAAAAAGGGAGATGCAGTGAGACAGCTGTGGCATCACAAACACATTTGATTTATTCCAAAATAAGCAAGTAGCATGAAAATTTGAGTCAGCTTGAGTCAGTCAGTTTAAAAGTTGGGATTTTGGATTCAACAGAAAAGAATCATTGCACATTTGTTTAACTGTTCTCCTTCAGAGTTGATATTTGGCATGCGGACTGAAGCAGATGAGGATCGAACTACCACCTTCCGATTAGTCGGTGACCTGCTCTGTCTCCTAAACTACAGCCACCCCAGATAGGATGTGTCACCAAAAAGCTTGTGGTTGTCACAGTCACTTGTAATTTATACTTAACACGCTGACTTGTCTTGTTGCAGCGACCGTCTGGTTACCCAGAAGTTGAGTGTGCAACACCTTTGCACAGGACACCTGGTGGAGGCAACCTGTTTCAGTACAATTGTGATCAGACTGGGACTAAATGCAATCAGACAGATTAGCGAAGGTCTGGAAGTAAATCCCTGACTGGAGGTCACCAAGCAGTTGCTAACTAGTCTCTAGGTGATTGCGACCCTAGAACAAGGACAAGAGGTTTTATTGTAATTCTCCTGCAAACTTTGTGGTTGGAGTTAAGTAAAATGAAATATCTATGATCTATCTCTGTTCTTACAAGGGTGAAATCTTTGGGGCAAGTGCCAGAGTTGGAGGCCCAGGCCACAGCGGTCACTGGCCGGACATTCCCACGTTCCATCAAAGACATCTGAGGAAGACCCAAACAAAAGTTTTAATAAATATGGAAGGTAAACAAGGTACAAATGCTTTACTGGTTGGTCTTAACATAAATTATGTCTTCTTATTGCCCAAGGATGTTTTTGGATTGTCATTCTAATACAAACTTTCTCAAAGCTTATCTGTTTTTTTCAATCTCAATGCGTGTACAATAACATGTTCCCTCGGAGACTGAGGCATTGTCACACCCAAATCGTTTAGTTCACGTGACTCCTAAATGGGAACTCAATTAGGTCGAAATTACCTTTAGATGAACTCTTACACTGAATAGTGTCATTCTCTGCCCTAATATATATGGATGACAGCCTGAATAGGATCGTTCCCTATTCAGGCTGTCGTCCATATATATTAGGGCAGAGAATGACACTATTCAGTGTAAGAGTTCATCTTAAACAGCAGCAGAAGTATTTAATCCACTTGCATCACTTTTAATATAGATTTTAATTTCTTTGTTTTTTTTAAGCATTTACTCGACTTTTGGCTACATGACACCCATAAACATAAGCACATTTCTACTGGTAAAGACTTTTTACTGCGTGGCAAATTGTTCAAACAAGCACATTTGACTAAACAAAACCAACTAGCACATTGGAACAACAACAAAGTCACAATGTAACAGAAAGACAAACGAGCATATAAAGCTCAGATTTTAAATGAAGATGAAAAAAAATCTCAGCAATTCATGATTTCACCATTGATTTTTTTTTGTAATAACTTCTATTTACTCGATCAAACTTCCTGACATAGTGCTTGCTATTGTTATAACTTGAGCTCTATTATGGTAAGCGGCTGAGGAAATCGACACCAGCCAGATGAAGGTATCTTAAAACAGCTGCTAAACTTCCCTATCCACAATTTTAAACACACGTCATCACACTTCTGCCTTTCGTAACACGTGTTTATTGTTACATTTATTAATAACAACACCTGAAATTATTAAATTAAAGACAAGTACCGTGTAACATCCCTGTCAAGACTAGCTTATGTGGCATTAGCGATTGTTCCGATGACAAAACTTCACCGCTTCTTTGTTAAATAAGCCAAATATTCACCGCTTCGTGAGCTCATTCGTGTAATTATAAAAATACACACTTACTCTGTATATGTATTAACTTTTGGCTCTCCGAGGTGAAAGAAAAACTTCTTAGTATCAACGGAAATTTTCCTGGACGTCCTCGTAGGAGCAGGAAGTACTCTGACTCCGTCCCGACTCCAACTCCCGTCATCCTCCGAGGCATGACGTCAGCTTTATAAAACAAACTCCCTTCTGAACGCTAGATGGCAGCAGTTACGCGAGAATACGGCTCAGATTTTCAAAGCTTCCATTGAACTTGCTGCTTCAAAAAAGTGTTAGAATTAACGATAGAAAAAACACTTTGCCTCATTTATTAATCTCTCTGCCTAACAGAACATAGATGTTTATTTTTTGTGCTAACAATCCACTATCTCTGCACAAGCAAGAATTAATAAATCAATGAATGAAGGAAAACACTGCATGCGGGTGACATTTTCCTTCACATACAGTCTACAGAATACTTCCTAACGTTGCACTATTCTATCCTTTCTTATTTGTTGTAAATGAAATTATTCAACAATTTAATGAAAGGAAAACACATGTCTGCCCTTTTTAGATGCTTTTAGTAGCGAGTAAGAAGCTAAAACTGTGAATAATTATATAATGAAACTACCAGACAGTCCTCGTAATCCTAATGTGTGTGTTTGTGTCGGTTTGTGTGTGTGTATGAAAACCAGAAAAAAGACCCTTGATTGCAAGCATCAACCAAAGGGGCTTAGGTCCCTGTTGGCATGGCAACATGCAGAATGGATGGCAGTATGCGTGTGTGTTTGTGTGCGTGCATGCAAGAGCGGGGGTGGGTTGAGCAGGTGGACTGTGGACGAGGAAGGAAGTCAGTGCTTATCCAGTGCACTTAGCTTTATTGGTTGATTGGCCAGTTAATTAGTAGGTAATTAATGAGAAGGAGCCAGCTGTAATCTGCTGAGAGTAAAACAAGGGGTAGATGAGGTAAACTGCATGTCTGTGTGTGTCCCATGGACACATTTTGCATATCCGCTTGCAGGGGGTGCATGCAGTCACCTGCGTGAGAGTTCATAAATAAATATGAAAATGATGGACTGAGTATGAGCGTCACTCTGTCGCTTACTGTCGAGGGATTCAATCGTCTTTTCAGCAGTTCATGTTTACTGACCCTGTCGGTTTACCCTTTTAATGAACAAGTAGGCATTTGGGGATAAAAGGAGAGCAGGCGAAGACGACAGCATGAGAAAGGC